CTTCCTTTGCTCCTGCTATCCAGGACGTCACCTCATCAATGGCCTTCTTCATGATGTCCCTGTGCAGGACACTGAAGCATGATAAGGGAGATAGAGAGAGAGAAAGAGCTCTTTATGGGAGTCATCTCGTGCCTTGATGTCAATGAGGGAATGCAGAAGCACCATTTCCCAAACATTCACTAAGTTCTTCACACTGTACCCTGTGATCTCAGCCATTCTCTGGAGAGATCAGCACGCTGGAAGAGCTGGCAGCAAGGCAATCACATGAACAAGTTTTAGGATGACAAAACATGACCTGAATGACGGCAAGCTGCCAAGGTAGTCAGTATAGGAGGCAACTCCCTGGGGAACGCTCACCTGCAGACTTTCCAGCTTCCTGCCAAGAGATACTGCCTCAGGCTCTTCTCCTGCAACTCATTCATGTATGGGATTCCATCTTTCAGGAACTGAAGAGGAAAAAAAAAATGATCATTCTCCCCTGGACTTTTATCAAGTTACAGAAAAGCTGGTTAGGCATGTCTAAAATGGGCATGTACTTGGGAGAGCAATCCCCAACACATTCCCTTCAGAAGCATGCAGGACCGCCCGAGGTGTTCAAAGCCTGCGAGTAGCCTAGTATGTATTTTTACATAAGAGAAGATGTATTTGGAGGAAAGAAAAGCATTTTGTCGACTTTAATCAGTCTTCTTTTTTTCTCTCTGCTTTTATCTTTCCTTTAATGACATACTTCCAGAATATTGCAATACCATGATGTTTCCTGCCCAAACTGCTAAGCAGTGCTGTTAATGTGATAGCATAGCCTTATTTTCAAATGTAGGTAACCTAAGGCTTCCCCATGTTAGTGACTAGTAGAGCTAGCACGATGGGCTAGCAAGGCAGTGTAGGTGCCCCAGGAGGGTCTGTTAAAATCTGCTCTCCTCAGCCCACTAGAGATGGGCTTTCTTCCTTAAGGACAGGGAAATCTGGTTTAGGCAGACAGAGACATGGGCATTGACTCTGTGGCAGCTCTGAAGCCAATGTTGGCTCTCCCTATTGATAGTGAGCCACATTGTCATCACATACATACTTTAGCAAGATGGCATTTAAAACAGAAATACAGCATTTGGGGATGTTAATTCTAACTTCTCCTGTAGTTACACAGACTTCCTCCGTTCCAGATTTCTGCTGCAGGGACTGCGTACCTTATTATAGTCAAAGCCGTAATGAGACAGGAACTGAATGCTAGATGCAGAGAGGGTGAATTCAGGATCCGTAGCTCCAAATGTTGAGGGAAAGATAAAAAAGTTGTATGAATGCACCACATACCTACAGCAAAATGAAAGAAAATGTCTCTAGAAGACAATTACAAGTAATGGCATTAATCCTTACCCAGAAACTTCTCCATAAAATCCCAACTGCATTATCTTTGCTCTAACAGAAAACTGCAAGCTGATGTGAAAAGGATGTGTTTTACTTACTTGTTTGGCTTTTCATGCGAGAATATCGCCAGTCCTACATGAAAGAGAAACCTGAGCTGGAATGGCAACGTTGACCTGGATGCCTACTCATACTGCAAAAATTAGGTAAGGGATGTGGAAATGCCCTAACGGGTTGCAAGGTTTTCATCCACTAACAATGCACCGAAATCTTAACAGCAACTGCCAGGTGACTCCCCAGCTCCCTGGCAGCTGAGCAGTAACAGCATTCTAGGACTGAAAGGAAAGGAGTCAGATTCAATTCAGCAGCAAATAAAACCGAGCAAAGCACGCGTACCAAGGTGAACGGGGGCCAGCTACACTACGCAGGCATTTGGAAGTAACTAGGTACAACAGAAACACGGTTTTTCCTACTTAGGTCCCTGCAAACATAGTAAATCTCAAAAATGCCCATTAAGATCTTGCACAGCCTAAGCTTTTGAGGAATATTTACAATGTTTGGAGCTGATTTTTGACCTTTATCTAGTTTTTCTGAAAACAGTTGTGCGGAAAATCTCGCTGTCAAGAACTGAATGTCCAAAAGGAGACAGAGGAGTCCTAAAACTTTATTCGAATAAAGGGAGAGTCCACCGGGCATATCCCTGTGGGGTCTCTCAAATTGCTGGGGGACGCAGCCCCCCTTTTATCCTAATTTCCCGACCGAGGGACGCCCTCTCCTTTTCCCCATGGGCCAAGGTACTCAGAAGTTACAGCCTTCCCGGCCGCCTACACCGAACTCCGGCCTCCCGCCATCTGTTCTCACCTGAGCTCACCAACTCCTTTGTCCCCCTTGCTGAAGAATGTGGGGGAATTGCCCTATTTCCCTCCTTTGTAAAGGCCCCCATCTCCTTGCAGATGGCTCTTTTTGTCCCACTCAGCTCATGGCTCCCCTCCCTTTGTCCTGCCCTTCAGCCAAACTGTGGAGAAACCCCCTTGTTGATGAATACAGAAACTTGAGCATTCCGCTCACAGTTAAAAGCCTTTCCCCCACAAAAGACCCTTCCTGGTTGACAAAATAATATATATATTAAAAATATCAGGAATACTATCCCTCCAATTCCAATAATGGCCTAACTCAGTAGCCTTGAAATAAGCTACTACGACTTCCTCCTAGTTTGCTATGCTTGGTTTTGCTAGCCCTGTGTTTGTAGCTATAATCTTTAAATATAAAAAACGCTAAATGATTTTTTACATAAACAATCTTAAAACAAGCAAAAGCAGATGGCCCACCTGACTTTAGATCCCTTACAGTATTAAAGAGCTGATGATATCAATACTGCTTAAACAAAAATCCACAGTAGCAAACAAATGGCTCTAACAGAGATTTGCAGAACTAACCGCAGCTGGCAAATTGGGATCTAGGGAGTTGTTTTTCTCTTCTTGGTTAGGAGCAGCACTTACCAAACTGACTAATCGTGAAGCGCTGAACGCTCTGCCTGGCCTTCAGATACCACTCGGCTGGGGAATCAAACAGACTATTTAAAAAAAAAAGTGGGGGGCACGGGAAAAGAAATATGTAATTTTGCAATACACTAGTTCGTTTCTGCAAAGCTACAACACAACTCTTCCTCATCTTTCAAGTGCAGCACCTTTACCTTGGCTTGTTATTTACGGGGAAGACTGAATGCAGGCCTGTAAACTCCATATCAAGCCCTGGTGGGACAGAACACACACATTAAAAATCCAGCATGTGAAACAAGCATTTCACCTGCTCTGGATCTGCATCCCCAAACTACTCGGCCACAGTATTGTGCACACTGCTCACTGGGTGCGAAGATTGTATATGCATATATATATATATATACACACACACACATACATATATATATATATAGTGTTCACACTTGAAATCGGCGCCTCTGCGGCTGCTTTCCACGCCCAGAGCCCGGCGCTGCCCCCGCTCAGGAAGGGGACGGTACCAGGGGACGAGGACGCGCCCTCTCCCTCCGTCCCAAGGGGACAGGCGCTGCCTGGCCCACGCGCTGCCCCGCAGCCCCC